AGACTAGGAGTTGTAAGATTATCTAGAGAAGTATTCATGTCTGGTGCGACCAATAAGTGTCCGTTAGACTATGTGATGATTGGAAGACTATGCATTACTTGTGCCATGTAAGTTGTTTTATTTTTTATGGGATAAGACGCTAAACGAGCCGACGGGTCACCTGATGGTAAGCAATCCGCGTCGCTTATGGACACTCGAACACCAGAGACGTTACAAGTACATTGCCGGCCTTTTGGGGGTTGGGGAAATGAGCATTGTTGGGGATTCGGGGAATTGGGAATGGAATTATAGTTTTTATACACCCTTATGTTATGCAGTCATTTTTCCCTACTTAAACTGTAAAAGAAAAATTCAATCGCACATTTCAATAACATATAAGGACGAATTGAAGAAATATGTTGCTGTCAATATATTTCTTCAATTCGTGTGAATTGGACTTAAAACTAGCACAAAAACCTACTCAATATAGAGACTTATTATAAATAAATCTCTGTTAATCACTATCTCAACTACATGACGTCACTTGATGAGTTATTTGACCTTATTAAGTTATATACATTTATTGTATAAACACATGTAGGTAAAAATCAATTTACATAAACTATGTAAATAAAGGTAGACAGCTAATTCGATCTGGCTCCAACCGGTCTATCTGGAAGTCTGTGGGAGAGACCTGCTACCACTGATGAATACACCAGTGGATTTCTTGTAGTCAATTACATTATGTCCAATATTATCATCTCTCAACGTCGCTCAAAGTCTATTTTTAAATTTATCTTCATATGATTTTGTCAATTAGACCTTCATATCAAAAAATTTTTTGACAATACCAAAATGGACAAAAATAGAACTATAAAATCGGCTCAGGAGTTATGACTTAATAAACATGTCATCGAGTTTATTTAAATCCATGGCAACTCGTGACTTTATTTACATATGCACATCTATTAAGACATATCTCATAATTATTTTTTTGCACCTCCCGATGGATCTTTGGGGAATTTTTGATGGTAAGCATTTAGTATCACTCACGGACAATACCAAAAGAGTTACAAGTACGTGTTGACCTTTTGGGCACTAGGGATTGGGGGATTTAGTACCGAGCTACACAAGTACACAACGGAAGAGTTCACCAGTGGTCTACACTTACAGAGGTTGTGGTATCACTCTAGTCCATTCGTGCCGAAGCATGACTCTCCTAAGTGACCTAATTATTTTATCTTTCATTTCCCTAACACATAAAGATATATTATTTCCTTGTTCTAGGTGTGCAGAAATGATTGGAAGTGGATGTCCGCAGTGTCCAAAATAGAGATGGCGTATACGTCGATAAGGAAGAAATGTGACATCGCAACTAGAGACTTTCATAAGTTCAATTATTTACGGATATTGAAATGAAAATTTATATTATAAAAAATGTTGAATTAAGATCACTATTCAAGACTAAATAAAGGAGACAAGAAGAGGTGAAATAATTGAAGTTCGTGTTTTATTAAAATACGCTAAAAATATTCTTTGAGTTTTATTGAGATTTATCCAACGATAGACGACTGACTTAAATTATGATTACTTTTTTCTAAACTTGTGGATAATGTTAAGTACCTAGTTATATACATTTTGGAAGTCTGTTTCTCGTCATAGTTTATAGTTACTGCTACTTTTTTCTTACATAATGCAACTTATTGTTTTAATTCATTCAAATAAAAATTTGTTTGAATAACATTACGGCTTCACACAACAAAGATGCTTTAATATAATAATAATGTGAATAGAAATTTGCAAACCGCAATAAAACCGCAACGAACTTAACAACGAAATAACATTTAATAATAAACATAACATAACATAGCATTAATTATAAATAATCCTATTAATAACATGATTCTTTGGAATAAGTGCATAAACAGGATTTACCGTAACATGTATATTGTGAATTACACACACAAATTGAGAATGCAGCTCGTTCATTAAATAATAATTGATGAATGTAATAAATAACAGGAAAGTGTTGCATTTCCTTTGTATCTGTGGTTAATATGTTACATGTCATATACATATAGAGGTATCATATATTTATCTTCTATACTGGTCAACAGTTTTACAAACAGTCTGATGCACCAAAAAGATATGTTTATTTATTTATTTATTCTTTTATGTACACAATTTTATTATGGCACATAAGGCATATATCAAATCATCAGCGATATAAAAGACAGGATATAAACAAAAGCCCTGGATATCCCGAAAATTATACCTACTAGAATAGGCCAGCAATATTTTCAGTAAGTATTTTTTATGATATAATCCGGGAAACGAGTAGATGGATCACCTGATGGTAAGTAATCCGTGTTCGCCCATGAGCACCTGAAACATCAGACGTGTTACATGTGCGTTACCGGCGTTTTGAGGATTAAGATTTAGGTATTGGGGACATTTGGGGATGGGGGGCGGGCCTTCGGTAACCTCACTCACACGAAATGAAAAATCGCAAGCGTTATTTCACGTCGGTTTCCTGTGAGGCCATGGTATCACTCCGGTCGAGCCGGCCCCTTATGCCGAAGCATGACGCTCCTACACTTAGTAGTTTGTATTGCTTAGGTATATTTTTGTAATCATTTTTATTGATTCATGGGTGACTACTGAAACGCTACTCAATATAAAGTCGCACTTAAGCATAGTTCTGTCACTGCAAATTCAATGTAAAACGATAGAGATGGCATGATATTTAAGTACCTTCAACTTTTCAGTATGATGGTGTCAGTTTCTCTTAACTAAGCCTTTATTAGCTAACGGCTAACGACTGAAGTTTAGTGGATACATATTTAGTCGCGGAGAACCTAACGGGTAACCGGAGCTCCGGCTCGACGTGCAGAAGAAGGAACGGGGTAGTTTTTAGTCAGTAAGAGTCTGACACTCCCTCCCGCCTCACCCAGGCAGGAGCAGTCATTCGATGATTTTCCCCCCTTAAAAAAAAACAAAGTGGATACATATTTATATTTATTAACATGGTCCGTAACCAACGGCTTAAACAATTTTATTTTTTAATTTATTTTGGACGCGCCGTTCCGTCGGGTCTGGTTCTGGTCGCGTTTCCATAGGATAAAAATTAGCTTATGTGTAATTCCAAACCATAATATACCCTTGTTCTGTTCCGAATTTAATTTCGACCTTTCAGCCGTTTTGATGTGAACCAGATATCATACATCCATGAGAGTATTTTTTATGATGGGACGTTGTTTTTCCTTTCGGGAATCCCATTAACTCGTCGAGTACCGTCATTATAGACACAATTATAGAACAATAGGTTGCGGTCACCGGTGACCGCTTGGTGTTTGACAGTTTAATTGTCAATACAAACATATTTTTATAAGGAAAATTAATATAGGTACATTACTTATTACTGATTACGATAGTACGTATTATTAATATAGGTACATTACTTATTATAGACACTCCATTTACTTGTCATATTTAAGTACCTAAAGGTTTAAAATTGAAATTCTGTGTAAACGCACACACACACACACACACACACACGCACACACACACACACACACGCACACGCACACACATACAAGCATACATACACATAACTACACATATTCAAGTTAAATAAAAGCATAATAAACATTTACTTGATGACCGTGTTCTGGAGTGGACCACGTCTACGCACACATAGTGTAAAACGCCCTCTAACTAGGTGGAATGACGATATCCGCTGTGTGACTGGCTGTGATTGGACGCGAGGAGCTGGAGATCGAGCTCATAGGCCAGATATCCAGTAGTTAGCAGAAACAGGTTGATGATGATAATGTTAATGTTAGAGGTACAGTTTGCTTAACCAAAACACTTTACATCTATTCCTTTAAAGGTTTTCAATGAAACAGCTGTCAACGTGAAATAAACTTTATTTCAGATGTTATAGAATGATTAATCAATTAATCATCGTTCACTATTTACATGACTGACCAACCTATACTCAATTCAAAAGAACTTTCAACCATATAATTCAGTAAATCAACCGACTTTGACTTCTATTACGCTTGCATAAAGATGAAATTGACAATTAATTTAAAAAAATCCAATACCATTTATCATTTCCATTTTTTTATGTTAGCGATAGAATGTCTGAATCGGTTGATCGTATGAAAATGAAGGATTTTAAGATTTCACACATTATGTTATAATGTATTTCATTGTAGTATTTTAAACACAATTCTATAGACTCTAATAGACCAATAGTTCATATAAATTATAAAGGTGCTCCCTCACTGTTACATTACACGTGAATGCTCCCGGCATTCACGTGTAATGTAACAATGACAATATAGATTCGACTTTGAGCATTACATTACAATAATATCTCCCTGACTAATGAGTAGTTGCGTGTAATATAACATATAGATTCGACTTTGAGCATTTCATAGCAAGATGTCAGACATTAATGTTACAAGTTGTATCAAGATATTACACATTGTATCATTACAAGGTGCGCATTGTAATGCTCGGTTCTCCTCCTTCACTAATGTAATGCTCAGAGGCCTTAATGCGAATTACGTTTAAAGTACTCGTAACGAGTACGCGCTCTGATTGGTTGGTTCATTGGCGCCGGCCAATCAGCGCCGAACGCGAACTCGTTTTGAATACTTTAAACGTAAATCAAACTCGTACTAAGGCCTCAGATCTGTAACGTTACATTACACGCGAATGCTCCCGGTGAGGGAGCACCTATAGAATGTACATTTAAAAGAAAGATTTTCGCTTGACAGGATCTCAGCCGCTAAAGACACCTTCGAAGTGCAAATACTAACTTTTATAGATCATATAAACCAAATAAACCAATTTATGCAACTGTAAAGACTTTGTAACGATAAGAATTTATCACAATTTATTAATTAACAGACATAGGTAGTAGGTATACTTCACCAACGACGTCTAGTCACAACAAATCACTGAAAATGAAGATTGAAGTAATTATTTACTTATTATTTGTACTAACAATAAGAAATGTACTTTATTGCACTAAAGTAGCTTGAGAATCTGTCCATCCAAACACTGTAGCTATCAAAAATTGGTTTCTCTTTTGGGCAAAAGACCTAAATTCTCACTAGCGCCTCTTGTGGCAATATCTTGTACAATAGACCTCATTACGTTCTGATGAGCAACTCCATTAGGTTATTGTGGTAATCCTGAAGTTGTGGACCTCTTGGGCTTTCGCTTCGAAATTCACCGACCTTGCCGACAAGCCAGTACGTTTCCATGTACCCTTTACCCTGGAAAAGGATTTCAAAAAACATTAATTAAATAATTAATTTTGTAAATGTTGTTGTGATATATTTTAATGTATTAATGAAGGAAGAAGATACATATTTAAGTATGAATAAGTTATTTAAAGTTTAAACATCTGAAAAGTTGCTACTGAACACAATAATAATAATAAGACATTTTTGTTCATACGCTAAACAGATATAGTACTGAAAATTAAAAAAGACGCAAAAGGTAGATGGCGCTCTCTATTTACTGTACCATTATTGGAAATAGTTTTTGCCTAACAATCCTGAAAAACGTGTTGGCACATAATGTAAATGTACCAGCTCGTTGGGACATAAGAGCCATCCCTGCCACAGAACAAAGATGTGACTTATTGTAAGAGTGTAATAAAATTACGTACCGCTATATTAACAGGCCCTCTCGTTTCAAATTCGTAGTTCCCGATCTCATCGAGTGCTAATTTCGTTGTATAAGAAATGTGAATTTTCATTGCTGTTGACAAAACAAAATGAAATTATAAAATGAGTTTTTTAAACGACAACTTAAATGCAATGTATTTTCAAAATGACTACTTATGGTCTAATGGACGCAAATGAACGACAAAATAACAGTCTAAGATTTTTCACTTTCTCATTCAAAAGTAAAATTCCATATACATGAAACATTTAGTATGCTGCATGAAATGGGTCTGACCACATTTAATGTCAAACCCCAATCCGTAAATATCTTACCCCCAAAAGACCGGCAACACACTTGTAACTCCCCAGATATTGCGGATATACATGAGCGGCGGCGATTGCTTACCTTCAGGTGTTTCGTATGCTCATTTGCAATTTCAGTGGCAATTGCAACCGTATCCATTAAAAACAATGTTTAAATATGCTACCTTCGCCAGTGCTTTCCATCCGGCTAGCAGTATTGATAGTGTCTCCGAAGAGACAGTATCGTGGCATGGTGGTCCCCACCACTCCCGCCACGCATGGTCCAGTGTTCACACCGGCCCGAATCATAAGTGGCGCCCCCGGCCGATGAGGGACGCAAGCGCCTTCCAAGCTGCGCAATAGAGATAGCGACATATCCGCTATCTCTGATGCGTGGCGGTTACCTGGCAACAAAATTCAAAATAAAATGCCACAAAACAATCGTTGTTCATCGTTTGGGTACAATAATAACCATTAATCATCAATGACGATAAGGAAAGAAATTTGTCATGCGGTTCGTAATTTTGCCACTGGCCTTTATCTCGCCTGATGGTAACCGATGATGTGGCCGACGATGGAGCACACCTACCTATGAGCAACCTGTTCACTCGGGACTTGAAGACACCCAAGTTGTATTTGTCGGGATACACAGATTCCGGCAAGGAATTCCATTCCTTAGCGGTTCGCACAAGGAAACACGATGCGAAACGCTTTTTGCGATAGGGTGGTATATCCACTATATAAGAGTGGGTATATAATATACCGCTTTTCAACAACTAATTATAATCTCATTTATCCTTTCCAAGAATAGCAGAAAGTTGGACAATTTATTATATAACACGCATTAACAAACACAATACTTTTTGTACAACGCTAAACTAACAAAGATAAACTAAAGAAATTCTTAGAAAACTGTTTTTAATTCTCGATACATCTCGGGATTTTTATCACAAGGTCGAGGAAAAATGTTAGTATTTAATGTACTACATACACGTGAGCGAAACGCTTCCGAAAACGCAGATAAAACAATTTTATTTTTACTATTTTAATCGTTTTGTTTTCGTGTATTAATGCAACATCAGCCCAGACCCGTTGATTACAACTGTTATTACAAAAAGAGACATTTAATTACTTACTTTCTTTCAAATACAACGTTTTTTACCATCACGTATTTGATAATCATCAAATAAACCTTCATTTTTTGGAATCGTTTTGTTTACCTGTATAGACTAAACTTACCGTTCCTTTGAGGAAGGCCAGACACAACCATGTAAGCGTCACCTATCGTCTCCACTTTGTACACGTCGTAATGAGTAATCTTCTCATCAAACAACCTACAGACAAACATATTAATATTAATTATTATGATTACCTACGCCATTGGGAATTACTCTAGCAATTACTGTTATGTCATACGCGGGTGCATTATTTCCTTGCATATCTTATTATGATTATGATTTTAATACAATTACTGCCTCATTGGCCGAGTGATAGGTAGTGGAAGCAAGTGCGACTGCCGGGCAAGGGATCGATTCCCGGGTCGGGCAACGTAATACTTGGTTTTAAAAAATTCTTAGTAGTAGTACGGAGTCTGGAATGTGCCCGGTATACGGCAATAGGCTCGCTCCCTATTACATGGAACACTCATAACATAAATAGTGAAAAGTGGGTGTTACATTGTTCAGTGTCATTAAGCGCCGTAATGTGCACCTCTGCCTACCCGTTCGGGGATAAAAAAGTCGTGATGGTATGTTATAATTATGTATAGGTACAACATGTAACACGGCAGAGTAAGATACATTTGTCATATGGTAACCACGGTTTTCTGTGAGGCCGTGGTATCACTCCAGTCGAGCAAGCCGTGCCGAAGCATGGCTTTCTTACACTTAAAACTATATACTTCTTTAGTTTCCATCACATCCATACAACCTGTCACGCAACTATACCGATTTAGATTTTTATTTATTTATTTTTTTAGGGAATTTACCTGAACTTTTACTAATATCACATCCTACGTGATTCAGAGAATGACCAACGTAATACAGTTACACAGATAGTAACATCTACAGAGCATTTTAATTAAACCACAAGTTTGCATATTATTAATTTGATTAAGTCTATTTTCCTGATATTCTACGTTTGCTTGTATTTTCTAACCACAGTATGACGTGAACCACTTACGGTGTTTCATATACCTTTAAGTTTGTGGTTACCAAAAGTGCAAGGTGAATTATTTAATGCCTTAGACGACACTGCATTGTGTTACGGTTTAATTACTTCTTGTTCCTCTTCTTATCTCTTGTCTAGTAGTTACTTAGAGTTGGTACAGATTCTGTAATTTTGTTTTATGCATCAAGCGTGTCTTTACATTGTTCTCGAATATGTACAATGTTGGATTATGTATCAAAGAGATTGTAAAAATTACATTTTTTTTAAAGAGTAACTAATGGAGTTTCTTGCTTGTTCTTCTTCGCTCGAATCTACATTTTGAAACGAGCAGCTTCACTGACGGACATTCTGACAGACTATTATTTATTTTATAATTGTTGAATTTTCAAAAATACCAATATATAAATGCTATTGAGTTTGAGTTTGGCACAGTAATATTCTTTGATTTTTAAATCCTATTAAAGCAATATCCACATCATCCTTTTAATGATCTCTCATAATATATTCGACTATTGTTTAAACTAGTTAGTCAAAAGTTGATACATTCTACACTTTTGACTTGACTTTGATAAGTGTTAGATTAACAGAAACTTATTAGGAACCCATTATGAAAGAGACACTTCAACCTCTTGAATGCACCAATATGAGACATAATAAAAAAATGCTGAAAAATTGCATTGCGACGAGGATAATGTTTTCGACGCCGCGCGCCCACTCGGTCATCCTATCCTATCCTTATGATATACCTATATTTCAAATGCGTTTAAGTTTTTGAGTATGTATGAAAAACTACAAATCGGATTTGGATGATATTTGGAATAGTGATAGATTTTGGTCTGAAACATGGGTTAAGATACAATTTATATCCTAAGACCGCGGGTAAAACTGCTGTCTAAAGCTAGTATAATAATGTCATTAGTTTTTTTAAGTGGGGAAAATCATCGAATGACTTCTCCGGCCTGGGTGAGGCAGGAAGGAGTGTCAAACTCTTACTGACTAATAACCACCCCGTTCCTACTCCTGCCCTTCGAGCCGGAGCCCCGGTAACCCGTTATGTCCTCCTTGGCAATGTCATTAGGTTAGCAACATTTTCCAATATGTCCCCGAATGACCTTCGAAGATGGTGTCATTGTGTCCTTTTATCTAGATTCTTACATTCTAAATTTCTTAATTTATTGTACAAACCGGTTAAACATCTTGAGATAAACATTTCGTTAGTATTATGACATTTTGTTCAAAGTCAAAATGTTATATTTTAATTGAGACATAATTTATCAAACAAAATAAAACATTAAATTGTCGTTTATGGTGATTTAGTTGTCTATGTGTAGGTACACCTATTCGTGTCTTATAACTGTTTTCATAAAGGACGAAGTTTAATCTAAAAAAATAAAAATATTGATGCAATCGAAATCGAAAGAAATAACAAAATATTTTAACAAACTCATTACACCTTAACCATTTAAAAAAACCAAAATAGAAGCTTTTGTTTTTTCTCTACTATTATTTCCAACTTCTACTAGTCTATCTCCTTTTAGAGGCTTGAATAAAACACGCGCCATATTATATTTTATGCCAATTTAGTTGGACAAACCAAAATCTTCCCTTGTCCACGTTAACTTTACACAGTACACAACACATATTCTAGTTCAAAATACGTGTAATAATGCTTACCTGTATAGCATATTGAGCATATTAATCACTTCCATGGGAGTGCTACTAGCTGATATGTTGGTGAATCCGACTATATCACTAAAGAATATAGTGACGGCGTCGAATGCTTCCGCTGGCACCGCTCTCTGAGCTCGCAATCTTCTTAGAACAGGGAGTGGCAGCATTCTAGACAGAAGTAGATCACTCTTCTGTTTTTCTGCTATCAACTTCTGTGTGCTCTGCTCGATTGAGTGTGTAAATGTCTGGAATAACAGAGACAGTAATATTTATAGTTTGGTAAATCATTTTTCACAACAGTACCTATTTGAAAAAATAACTATATTATTAGTTAACACGAACATCTTTTGCGAGCGAGGTGGACGACTTTTGGGTGGAAATAATTTTAACACATTAAACCGAAACATTTATTACCGACGTTAGTGGAGGATTTGCTTTCAACAGTTTTCTATAGGCAGTCAAAGCCCTTGCATGTGATTTTAGTTCTAAACTAAAAGTAGTCTAGAATTGTACCTAGCGTATGGTAAAATAAAACCTTCATTCATACTGAATTAACAGTACCGACTCCCGATTACCAATCAAAGATAAAATATGTCACAATCCGGTGATCCATGTTTCACAGATTAGTCATACCTACATGAGCAGAAACATTCATTCAACGATAGATTACGTATTTTTTAAAAAGGAATCTAAATACAAATTGATAAATTTTGTGAATCGCTAATATCTAAACTTATCTATGTAAATAAACATTAATCATCGAAATATCTGTAGGCGCGTAACTTCCGAATTACTCAACCAAGATGAATAACATTTTTTTTATATGAACTTCATGGTTATGCCGGCGCTATACTTGTGCACATTTATTTATTCACATTACTTCGCACGGGTGCAATATGCGTGTATTATACATATAAACCTTAGTTAAGAATCACTCTATCTACTAAAAAAAACTGCATCAATATAAATTGCGTAGTTTTAAAGATCTAAGCATACATAGGGACAGACGCCTACTTTATATGTTCTGTTTCTGTGGGACAGACAGACGGCGGATAGCGACTTTGTTTTATACTATGTAGTGATGTGGCGCGGATATGGGATGCTATTTAATCTGAGCCACACAATGTGAACATTTATGTGAACAAATAAATACACACATGTCTGGCGCCAGTTTAGGACAAGATAAAAGAAAAAAATTATATATTCGCCGGAAATATCAAAAAATGTACCGCTGGTAATTTTAAAATTAATTGACAATCGCTCATATAAGTCATTATATGCACTTAGAAACTAGTTTGCCTTATTAATCTCACATGCTTTGTATGAATCACACCAAAGTATTATACCTATCTAATCGTGTGAAAAAAACGGTTCTATGATTCATCTTCGGTAGTTCAACATGTTTGTTTTGTTGACACCTATGCTAATATTGTGACTATAATACAGAAAGTCAATTCTTAAAATAACTGTCTGATTAACCATCATATATTTTGGATTTCATTCGTGAAGTGATTGAGAGTATAACTTTGAGATTCGAGTCTAATTCGCAGGTTGATCAAAGTATATGGGAAATAGGGACTTTCATTAATAAACAATTTTAGGATTATGATTGACTAGCTCCTGCCAGCGGCTTTGCCCGCGGTCCCGTGGCATAATGTAGCCTATGTGTTATTCTACACAATAATCAACAACCGTTCCAAAGGGTGACGGGCAGAATGTAGGTACATTCTGCATACCAACCAGACGTATGTCGTTAGAAAGCTCTTTTCGTGACTATCATTTGTTATTACAAGGGCTAGTCTCAATTCGTGGTGGCGAAAACGTGGTGGAAAAATTCATTTAATTGTTTTTTATTGTTTGTTTAATGTAACAATAAGCTTCAATCCACATACGTACACAGCTAACTAATACAAAAACATTACCTAGAAATACTGACGAACAAATAAAAGTCTTTCTGTAGTTCAATTTAGAAGTTAAACATTAACTACAATACAGGCAATAAATAAAAATTAATCGCATCATTGTCTTTCAAAGCAGCTGCTCATATTGTGTTTCACAAAAATAACACTTCACACGAAGGCGTTAAAATATCAAATAGCGTCATTGTAATGTGTACCATACATGTGAGGACGGCAGCGCGTCAACTTATCCTCATCAATCAAATCATTCAGTAGACTTTATACTTTATCACCAACCGATAAAGTCGGAAATTTAATGGAATACTACTACGGTTATACAACAATTACTTAGAACACGTAAACCAGGTAGGAAAAACAGATGATATCACAATTTGACGATCACGATATTCGCCATTCAAGTCATTCAAGATTGAGTTGTTGAAGTAGAAAGTCGTGTTTGATTAGAAACATGTATCGTTTCGCGTGTTTAGTGGTATTGTGCGTTTGTGTTAGTGTGGGTGTGTGTAGAGATATAATGCGCACGAGTGCCGACCTTGACGACACAGCCTCTGACCTAGTGGCTCGTGCTGCCATTGAAAAATCGAACTTAATAACTTTAGACTTGTTTGAGTATTATAATCCGCTAACGACAGCTACTGGGACTCTTGTAAAATTGAAAAGGTTTAAAAGAAACTTTATTGGTACCGATAATTGTGCAAAATATGAGGTCAGGTTGTTCGGTGTATGTGTTACTTGTGCAGCGTAAGTTTATTATTATAATTATTAATATTCACATTTTATTTCGTTAAAATTATGGGAGGACTTAATGGGTTGTCGGGGTTCCGTATCGAAGAGCAGAACTAGGAAAGAAGCGTGAATAATCAGTAGGAGTCTGACACTCCTTCTCGCCTCACCCAAGGCAGGTGAAGTCATTGGATGACTTTCCTCTTTAAAAAAGTATAAGTAGTACCCACGACGACTTTGAAACATATTTTCAATTTTATATTATCCTTATGAAAAATAGCAAAAAGGTAAAAACTGACGAACCTTGACCAACTGTTGTTTACAAACATTTCAAGTTGACCTTGGCTATAATTATAACACATATTTAACATTCGACGTTAATTTTTTTGTTGAAACTAAATGTCATTCATGCGAATACTGGTTAGAGTGATAAGGATTTTGTTTAAAAATCTTGAATGATGCATTTTGTGCGATAAGAATGGAAAATTGAATTGGAATCGGTAGAATTAGCTATGCAGCACATGGTGTAACTCTTAGACATAATAAGGGCTGATGACGATGCGGAGTTGCAGAGGACTTAGCGGGTTACTGGGGCTTCAGCTGAACAGGAGAAGGAACGGGGTTGTTTTAGTCAATAAGAGTCTAACACTCTCTCTCTCTTGCCTCACCCTGGGTGGGAAAAGTTATTGGGAAAAACATAAACAGCATTTCATTATCGATTCATCGTAAACATTTTACTTTTTGCATCCTAAAATGACCGATATCTACTTGAACAACGAAATAATCTTATTCCATCACCTTTATATACATAAGTACTCGACAAACTTATAGTGATAGTTGTTTGGCATAAGCCGGTAAACGAGCAGACAGATCACCTGATGGTAAGCAATCGATATCGCCCAAGGACACCTGGAACACCAATGGTGTTACCGACCTTTTGGGAATTATGAGTTTGAGGATCGTTAGGGATTCAGGAATTGCGGAGATTGGGGAATGGGGGTAGGGTAAATGAGCCTCTAGCAACCTCACTCTCACGAAGAAACACAACGCAAGCGTTGCTTTACGTCAGTTTTCTGTGAGGCCGTGGTATTATTATCATTATCCGGTCCAGCAGGCTCATTCGTACAATTTCAAGTGCCGTTCTTTATTTTTTACATAGCAGCTATCCGGACATATAAAGTAGATCAGACAGATTAATTTATGGACTTATTAACAAATAGGCACTGCTTTAACTACTTGAATCTTACATCAGCACCACTAGTGATACCATATCATTCACAGCGCCTCCATCTTTATTTTGGTTGGTTAGCCAACTGTGAATTTTAAGTGGTTTGAAAATAATGGTACACGATTTTTAAGTAAAACTAGTATTACCTATTTTTAACATTTGGCACCTATTTATACATATTTATGTAGTTAACGCCGACAAACACACCATATTGAGTTTATCCTTCTTTAGAAAAATTAAACTTGGCTATCAATTTTCACATTCACGTTTTTAGTAAGATCTAATATATAATCAAATAATATAGGTATAACAAATGTCTAGACAATTTTAAAGGTCAGTATGGACAGGAAACAGTAGTGGCACCTGTTCTTGTCTAAAAAAATGAGTTTTTGATCTCTTTTATTCTAAAAATGTTTAAGGTATGTACACCATCATTCAACGAACGAGATTATTTGAAAGGGAGTGTTAGACTCTTACTTATTAATAAAACTCACCCCGTTCACTCCTGTTTCTAGCAGGACGTAACCCGTTAACGTAACATAACATCACGCCTTTTATCCCCGAAGGGGTAGACAGAGGAGTACATTATGCCACTGTACAATGTAAACACCCACTTTTCACTACGTATGTTATGCGTCCCATGTAATGTGAGCCTATTGCCATATACCGGGCACAATTGCAGACTCCGTGCGACTACTGAGAATTTATAAAAACTCATTAATAACCCTTTAAGTTGTCCACGGCTTCATATTAAGGCTTCTAAGCCATCATCCTTAAACTGTCAAACACCAAGCGGTCACCGGTGACCGCAACCTTTGTTCTATAATTGTGTCTACAAAACCGGTACTCGACGAGTTAATAGTTTGACACAACATCAGTTATCAGGTTAAGTCCCAACTAATAGAAATATATTGAAATAGGTAAATTGAACTTCAATTACTTGGAATTTTTTACTTTACTTTACTTATTCTTTTTCTCAGAAAACCCATATGTTAGGCTATTGACTGTAATGATTAGTTTGAATAAAAATCGATGAAAAATGACTGTGTTTAAACACGTGTGTGAGTCACGTCTGCCACTGGTGTGGTGTGCAGTGGTAGGTACTATACCTAACGCCTTGCGGTTTTAATGGCATTAATGTGTCTGTATGATACAATTAATTAATTTATGACTTTTGTTAAGGAAAATAAGCTTTTCTTATCATAACACAGGAATATTTTCCATAAAAGGTGATATTTTAAGTGTTGTGTATGTTTATTGTATAAATGAATCATTGGTCACAA